AGCTTCAGCCCTTTTCCAGCATCTGCCCTGTCACAAGGATGACTAAGGAGCCAAGGATCCAAATTTCATCCATCAGGTTCATCAGCACCTAAAGCACTTCTGAAAATAAGACTTACATTCCCCAAACCTTCCCAACATCTCACATATTATCACCGCAAAGTTTTGCTCTTTAAAGCTTTTGTCTCCTTTTTCTCCATTCTGCGCATCCAAGTAGGGAGACAGGGATACGGTAGCTGGGTAAATGACTCGGTGAAGAGGAATAATCAATGAGGGGCTGAAAGCTGAAGCCATACAAATCCAAACCAGAAACCGGGTGCAAATTTTGTGTCACTGCCCAAAATTTAGGGGTAAAAGAAATACTATAATCTCCACATTTTCAAGTTCAAGGCATGCTTACCTTCCAGAAGCAATACTGCATTAGGCATTGGGCTTAAGAGAGGAACAACTTTAAGACAAATCCTTAGGCTGAATTTTAAAGGCCTGTTTCATACAGGTTAGTCTAAGTGCTTTAGGGACTTAAGTTTTAAGAATGAAATTTCTTTAGCAAACACAAGGTCAGGGTCCCACCATCCAATCAAAATAAAATATATCAAGAGGGAACATGTTAAAAGCAGAACATTATCTAAGACTGGACTCTCTTGGTTCTTGCTGTTGATTAGTGAAAAGCAATTTTGATCTATGTTTCTTCATCTGCTCTGTGAAACATCTGTAATTCATACAACTACACACAAAAGCTCACTTACAAATACACTTACAGATTCAGTGAGAGTAAAGCAGAAGAGAGGCAATAAGGCAAATTCTTACCTGATTACAAGTGGGAGTTACTGTGGCAATACTATACAAGACAATTAGGGAACATTTTAAAATTAAATTATAATTTGATTAAGAATGGGGGTAAGTAGCATGTGGCTTACAGTGACCAGATTTCATGGGGGATTACAAGAAGATTCATTTATGACTAAGAGCACGTGCGATGCTGTGCATTTCCAGGAGTACCTTGCAGGGATCAGTCACCATGTGCTGTCAGGGAATGGCAAAGGCTTTTCAAATAGTAGAGAAATAGTGATTAGATAACAGCCATACACACTTGATGCTGCTTATGCAAAGTTGAAGCAGCATCCTGGGAGCTGTGCCGGCCCTAACTTCTTGTCTTCACTGCAGTTCATTTTCTTTTGGCTCTTTAATGGGATATAATAGTTCCTGCCTCCTTTTAAAATGTTTCAGATCTGCTGATAAGAATGTGGTGTGAAAGTAGGTTCCTGCACTCACTTAGAGGCATAACCAACAACCTGACAAGAACAAGTGAGAAATAGAAGAAATATTTTAAAATAAGGACAGAAAAATATATACATGCAAATATTCCAATTACAGGAAATTGAGTCAATTACTCCAAAAATACCTGAGTTCCGTTTTCTTGTCATGCATATATATTCTCCCTACAAAAGTCAAAATTAAATGAAGATTAAATCTGGAAAGAATCCAGGTGACTAATTGGCGTTGCTTGGACTCAGGCATTGCTGTTGTTTGTATATTCCTGACTATGTACATTAGATGAAAAAATTTAATACAGAATAATAATAAAGAGTGGGGCTTTGTTAAATGGCACTTATCTAGCAAGATTTGTAATACACACACACACACACACACATATATATAGCTCACAAGGAAGTCTGGCAAACTGTTAAACTAACTACTCTGCAGAATAGTTTAGAAATCTTCTTCAAAGCTCTCTTTGAATATCTACCAAAAAAATGTTCTAATAACATTTTGTGACAGATATGCAGCTGTATATGTGACTGGCAATTCAGAGGACCCACCGTAGAAGTAATTTGTGATGCACATTCTTATAATAGTATGCTGTAAAGTGCTCCAACTTGGAGAATAAAGTCTGCAGAGAAGTGGCCTTTCTGGCCGTATTCCATGGCAGCTGAAATGAATTACAGCATTCCCAGTGAAAGAAGTAACAAAGAAATAACAAAAACCTTTTAAAAGTTAGCACTTCGACCAGGTGGGAAAGACTGGAGTGGGCATAACTCCTGTGTATGAATTAACAGTTTGAGTCATAGGGATAAGCACAAAGACAGTGAGAGCAAATAGAGGGGAGGGAACGGAGACTAGAGGAAAAACAGGGCTCTGAGCACACATCACAAAACAGCATGAGAAAAGCAATTATGAAAAAACTCTACACTGAGTCATTTAAAGTCAAAAGTATAAAGTACTTAGCTACCAGAAGCTGCCATGGGAAGCATTTCCCAATACAGTATTTTTTCATGGTTCTGTATTATTCTACAAAATGCACAGAATGAAGAAATCGAGCCTCTGAAAAATTATTTTTTCCATTTAATATGGAAATTGGAATGGAATATTTTACATTTATATAAAATATTAGCATTTATATAAAATATATATTTAAAGGGAGGGAGTGAGGAGGATGGGGCCAACCTCTTTTCAGTGGTGGCCAGTGACAGGACAAGAGGTAATGGCCACAAACTGAAGCACCAAAAGTTCCACATTTTTTAACAGTGAGGGTGACAGAGCCCTGGAACAGGCTGCCCAGAGAGGTTGTGGAGTCTCCTTCTCTGGAGATCTCCCAAACCCGCTTGGACGCAGTCCTGTGCCACGTGCTCTAGGTGACCCTGTGTGTGCAGGGGGGTTGGACTAGGTGATCTCTAGAGGTCCCTTCCAACCTCAACCATTCTGTGAGAATGGTTGAGAATATTTATATTAATATAATATAAATATTGTATTAAATCTCATAAGTCATTTGAGATTATGAAATTCCATGTTATGCCATCTGGGTACTTGTTGACAAGATTAAGAGACCTACATTTAGAAGAAATTGTTATCACTCCACTGATATTGAACAGCAGACTAATTATTTTTGCCCAAAATGCAAGGATTATAAATGCTCAATACTTTAGTATTTACTGAGGAGGACAACATTTTCTCTTGGAAACTTCAGGATGAATGTAGGATATGGCTGCATTCTGCATCAAGAAGTTGTACAATTTATGCTGTTTTTGTCACTAGTCTTTATAATGTAACCTGACATACAATATACAGCATTACAACTCAGAAGAGCTGTGGTAACTCAATGGAGCTGTGTCAGTTTATACAAAGCAAAATGCTCTTTGGGGGTCTTGTGATGATGAAGGTATGCATATACATATGTGCAATCATCTACATAGCACCTTGAGATGCAAACAAAAAGAGATGCAAAACACATCAAGTCATAACTGAAGAAAAATGCAAAAGTCAGGAAACAGTCCAGATTCCTGCCCAGTCAGTTGCCTGTTAATCCCTAAATTCAAAAGTGGATTAGAGACATCCTAAAGTATCCCACAGTGTGTATATGTCCTATCTTGCAGAATTCCTCATGAACCACGATCACCCCATCTCCCTCTCTCACCTCTTATATCTTTGCACTTTTCCCTGGAGTGGTTAACCAAACCAAGAGTTTTACGGTTAGCTGCTGTTAGCAGCAAAAATAGTAGTGTTATGTTTCTTTGAAGTGCACATTTACTTGCACAAAATACACAGATTTCTGTGTCCCAGAGCTAAGCAAGAGACCGTTTCCTCATTCAAAACTTTTTGCCAATTAGAGCACCCTCTGAAGAACACACTCCTTGTGTTCAATATTGTTGTCCCTTTGGGACTTTGGGCCTAGGAGAAATAGGGAAGATACAGACCTTCACAGACTGAAAATCTACATTTGCACCCATGCTTTGGGTACCCCAACCTTGGCCCACAGTTGGCTGGAAATTTCTGTTGTTATGCTTTTGTAATTACATCGTTAAGCACAGCGGGTGCTATCCCAGATTGTATGTCATATCTGAAGCTTCCACTATGATGAAATTTGTTAATACAGAGAGCTCAAAGCCTACTTTTTCTAAAATACCTTTTTCTCTCATCTCTTTGTCTACTTGCCTATATTGTCTCCTGCTCTTCATTACAAGGATCTCATTTGCAATGAGATCCAAAATCAAGTCATTCCCTAGTCAGGTTTTGATTCCTCAAAATTGCTGCATTTGCCAAATCTGGATTTTGCAGCAATTCAAGTGGAAAGAATTTCTCCATATTAAAATGCCTGTAGAAACTGCAGGTTTTACATATGCAGGACTATCTGTCCACTTCCTTCAGTTACTTAAGGATGAAGGAGCAGCCAACTCTCTCAAATATATAGACTTGATTAGCAAAATTTTCCCCTAAGAAGCTAACATACCACACTCAGTCTTGAGTTTTATAAATCTGCTTGATAAATTGATTTACTGCCTTTCAGAGATACGATATTCATGCCACTCACCAAATGACTGTCTCTGCTCTGAGAGTGGTGAAGAGCAGAGCTATGTAGATATGCAAACATTTTTAATTGATTATTCAATTAATTAAAGGGATTGTACAAAAAAGCACCATAATAGCATTACTGTGTTCACAACCTACAAGTGTTTATATCCTTAGCCTCAGGTTTCAGAGACTCATTTATGTAATACAAGATCTTTACAGGATGAGGTGCTCTTGGGCATCACATTTTCCTTCAGTCTAAATGAGAGCTGGTGTATAAATCTCAAAGTAACTAAAGGTCTTTTAGAATTGGAGACACTCCTGGGAGGCGTGGGATGGGGGACGGAAGTGTTATACCTAGAAGTTTTAAGAGCACCACATCTCTGACTCATGGAAGTTTATTCGTGTCTTTCTGCATGCATAACCAGCACGCTCTTTATACTGGAACTTGTAATGATGAGGATGATGCCACTGCTCTGGAGGAACATAGGTAATGGCGCTCGGACAACTGACGGTGAACATCCCAGCACTACAAGGGAACAAACGCTTGTTTTCTTCATGCCTGAATGAAACATGTTCCTTTCAGGAATTCAAAACTGATCTGCCTTCTGCTTATTAAATTTACAAACATGATTCAGTGCTTTTTTGTTTGTTTATTTGTTTGTTTTAATGTAAGATGTTGATCTGCAATAAATACTTGATCATTTTTTTTCTGCCAGGCGAATATCTTGATGATTCCCAGAAATGTCAGTTGTGTGAAGCATCCTGTGAGAAATGCATTGGACCTGAGCGGGACAACTGCATCAGCTGTCCAAGTACAAGGTAGGTGTCTTCAAGCACCACGTAGCTCTAAGGCCTTGTATCTGGGTCTGGAGAAGTGGCTGCCCAGTCTTTAGCAGTAGCTTGCAGACTCGTATGAAGAGGCAATCAGTGAAGAATGAAGAAGCAAACAAAGTCATGGCAAGAAAGTGAGAAAACAAGGGTTATGTGAAAAAAACAGTTAGTTACACAGACAGTCAATATTTACCCAGATGGTTTCTACAGATGTAGAAAATTCTCTTTAAATAAGAGAAATAGTATTATTTCCTTCATTGCTATCCTTTGTCATCCATTCTAAAGCATATTCCTTGGAGTCACAACGGGTGAATTCCTTGGAGTCACAACGGGTGAATTCAGATCACAAGAGTACAGACTACCTCAGTTTAGCAGTGGAATTTGGCAGTGAAAATAAATACAAACACTAAGGTACTAAGGTAATTGGTCATATTTTCATAGTACCTAAACACAGACCTGTTGTTAGTTAGAAGGATAATTTTCCAGGGCTCACACAAAGAGTGAATGGAAGAAGAAAGAGACTCATCCACAGCACACTGCAAATCAGGCTTATGCTTAGGTGAGCTAGCTCCTGATGCAGGAGCCTACTGCCTTTAAGCCCATGTTCTATAAATTTATTTAGCTATATTTATCATATTAATTTAACTTTATTCTCATTCCAATGATTCCAGTCCATTGCTCTGGATTGTATTGCATCCAGTGGACACTTACACTGATATGAAGTCAGATCAGGTCTTGTATGATATTTTCCCACATAGAAAAACATTCCTCAAGTAGTCCCACAATTTACAACGCATATGACTAAGACCTTGACACAAAACATATAACCGCATGGAGTCCAAGCAAATTCATAGATTAGGAAACAGTACTGATTTAAGGTGTATTACATCAGAAATGGCATTAGAAAAGGCAGAATTTTGGAATAAGAACTGAATTGCTGTGATTCAGAATTGCATTACATTAGACTTTGTTTTCTATCTTGTGAGTTTTACCCAAAGATACCTGCAAAACTAAGAAGGTATATGGCAATGTAGTTAAAGTACTATTAGGCAAAACTATACATATGTTTGCTGTAACGAAGCCTTTTTCTGCTCTCTCTGCACATTGTGGAAAGCTATTAGGAAAAGTCATATTAGGACAGTCATAATTAAAAGAAATATTAACGAAGAGAAATCTCACCCAGAAGCTAAAGAGTAAATCCTTCCAATGAACATTACTTTTTATGTACTGGAAATAGAACTCAAATGACAAATTCTCCTAAATCCTGTAACTCTTCATAGTTTTAAACAGTGCCTATAGAAGATGGTAGTGAGTAGCTGCTAGATAACATGAACCAAAATTCAGCAGAGAAACGTCCCTACAGGGCAACAGCTTTCTTCTTTGTAAAGGATAAAAAGATTTCAGGGGCACGTAGGTAGAGCAGGTACTGAAAATCCCTTTAAAATGAAAACACTGCCCAACCCCTGTTCTTCACGAGAATTCAGCGCTAGGCACCACCTCCTTTGTAGTAAACTCCATTGTCTTGATTGAAAATCCAAAATGCTATTATCTGTTTTTTAAAAAATAGGAGGAATTGTAGATTTTTGTCCAGCCAAACAGTGATTTTCATAAAATCTCTCTCCCTCTGTTCATTGTTTAAGTTGCAGAACTCAGCTATAAGATCCGACCTGCTAGTTTCTGTCATTAGGGGCTACAAAATGAAACACAAGAAAAACGTGCTTCACCTCTGTGCTAACTCTGTTTGTGAGAGTAAGCAGGGCTGCCGTTTCAGCGAGCGCACGTGATGGAGCACAGCCATCTCCACAGGCCACCTACACACAGCCCAGCTACCTCCAGCACTTCTGTCATGTTCTCCCATTTGCGTGGGCTGCAGACCCCATGAAGAGCTGAATGAGGGCCTTAAACTCCATGTAGAAATATCGACACACGTCACATTCTGCATCTCTCAGGCTCCTGAGCTGGGCCCTTGCTGAGCACCTCACACATCGGCACGCGTCTCTCTGTTTCTTTCCTGCAGCTTGCTCTTAGACTCACAAGGCTTCTTACCAATTCCTAAGTCGTCTAATACACTGATTTGTTGCACCTGTTTCAGGATGGCTATTTGCAGGATAGCGTATTCTTCCATCTTCACACTTTATAAGCCCCATCATTTCCAACCATGTTAAATTTTAGATGGTTTCTGAAACTATTTGACAAAATTGGTTTTAAACTTTGCAAATATTTTCCTACTTTTCTTTCAGAAAAAATCTTACAATGAGCATAGTGACCTAAATTTATGATATTGTAGGGATTCTTTAAGGACTCTGGCTGGCTTTATGGAACGATGCACTATTTTAATATTATACAGTGCCTATTGTTCCCTAAGATACAACATAGTCTTGAAATCTGTACTACAATCTTGACTCAGTCTTGAAAATTGAATCCCAAGTCCTCAGACCAAAATTGGTGAAGAACAAAAGCAATTGAATGGGACATGACAGTCTCTCAACTCATATTTTCCTATTTTCTTGCAAAATATTCAATACATTTTCAAATTCTACTCAACTTGTTTTATATTATTTTAATTGTCATATTGTTATCGAAGCATTTCTCCATTTTCCCCAGGCAGATTAAAATTTTCAACACATAAAAAGATTCTGTAGAAGATACTTCATTACCCAGAGGAAAAAAAAAGAACATATTTAGCAGCAAAACAGTTAAGTGTTTTCAGAGACGCAAGGCTGAAAAGACAGCTCCTAAAGGCTTCAGTCCTGCCAAGATTCAGATGGATGTTTGACTTTATGTACAAAGTCATTTCAGTGAAGTCATTGTTCAGCTCAAAACAAGCCTTTATATATAGCAAAACTAATAGAAAACTTCAACAGATGGATAGTTCTTTCACAGAGTAAGACCTCTTCTTGCTCTCTTTCTAACATACATAAGGGAACCCTTCAGAGGTTGTGGCATAAGGACATTTAGGTACAGGACCAGAAGTTGTTTATTTTCTGGGAAAGTAATCCAATTCATCTCTGAAGTATAAGATACAGCTTCAAAACATAGTTGATCTTTCACTTTATCTCAGTAAATTCAGTAAAATCAGAGAAAGGAGGTAAAGGAGGAGGTAAAGTGCAAAACCTCTAGCAAACATAATGAGAGGAGGATATCTTCCTTCATTCCTCCAAAATGTTGCTGAACGTGCAATTCTTCCTCTCTCTGCCTCCAAAAGAGCCTTTGATGATGGTCACTGTGTAATGCAATGCCCCAGAGGAAAGTTTGAGATTAAAGGACAGTGCCATTTGTGCCATCACACCTGCCTGGATTGCAGAGGGAGTGAACCTAACAAATGCACTGCTTGTGGAACAGGTAAGAAATATTTCATCTTGCAGTCTTTTCGCCTTCCTGGGTCTCTCAGTTTCCTTTTCCTTGTGCTCCCAGGGTAGTTTTTAGAGCCAATTCAGTATACAGTGCTTTCGCTCCTGATCCGAATCATAAACTGCTTTAAATCCAGAGAGACATTGGAATTCAATTTCTTTCTTTTCAAAAGTATCAGAAAGCATAGCTCCACAGTGTCCTTGCATCTTTATATACTGCCCCGAGTATATTTTGGATAGGGCCTATAATAGGAACAAAAACAGGAGAGACTGGACAGAAAACCCACACAACCTGCCTCTGGGAAATGAAGCCACGACCTCCCCCTCCAGCTCTGCCGTGTGTTGGTCACGGTGAAGCGGAGCCAACCTGGGTGCACAGGCGGGCAGGGAGCCCGAGGGCTGCCAGGACACGGCCTGGGGGAGCCTCCGCAGCTGGGCACACGGGGCCTGCTAATGGTCAGCACTGGTTATCACCACTATCACACCACCACACACTGAAGCACCTCTTTTGCCGTGTTATTTGTTATACCAATTAAGTGGAGACAAAAGGCAATATCATTAGCTCTCTTGTCGCAGGAAAGCAACTTATCTCATTTAGAACCACCAATGTCATATAAATTAGGAAAATAACTCTCTCCCCACCTTCTCTAATGCCTGGCAGATAAAGACCTTTAGGGTTATTAGGTGCAAATACTTGCAAATGGCCTGTAAATGAACAGTAGCTAGGATTTAACTTAATTTCTTTTCTTAAACAAAAGACTTTTTGATGAACTTCTGAGGACTGATAGTGGATTCACAGCTTTTTCCTCTCTGGAGTTATTTCAAATTTAATCCTAGTGAAGAGCGACTCAGGTTTTGCTTAGAAATAAGTGCCCAACTTACAAGAGAACACTAGTATGACTGGCATTAATTAGTTGTATTGAGGATGAGACCACAGTGCTAATTTCAGACTCTCCAGATGAACAGACATAGGCTTCAAAGTCTAGGTGAGACATGGGAGGGACATTTAGCTGCTCCTCAAGTCTCTCCTTACCATGGCGCATAGCAATGTAAATTGTACCAAAAGTGAAGGCTTGGATGAGAGTCAAACTCAAAGGAGTCTGTAAAAGTTCACTTTAACATTCAGATTTGAAAAGAAACAAAGTCCGGATTGTTGCTTGTACAATGCAGCAGCAGCTATTCACTAGTGTAGCTGCCTTCTTTGTAAGTGAAGATGTATTCTACCATAAGCAAACACTTTGAATGCTCTGTAGTTAACAACTATATAATACCCTTACAGCCTTAACGTTATGTAATTTATACCGTATTGTGCCTGTAAATGGCAACTGTCCATGTTGCATCTCCTAGCACAGTGTGTTTCCACAGGCCTCATTCGGAAGTATTTGAAAGTACCCAGTCCGCTAGAAAACACTCTGATATCAGAATAGAGGCACATTTGTGCTTCAGATTCACATCTCAGCCTGTCAGAGTTTAGCAGTGACTAGGATGGGGATTACAGTTTAATCCACTATGGAAACGGTTGATCCTTTTCAAAGGTGAATGACAGCTTTACGTCTACAAACTGGCTATGTTTTCAGCAAGGGAATATTGGGATCCCAGTAATGAAAATCTCTTGACCCTTGTTTGATTAGATCGATTGGATATAAATAGCATCCACTCGCTAGCATGATATTTTAATGCCATAAAGCTCTTGACAATGTGAAAGAGTTTGGGTTCCAGAACGTTTTTGTATTTTAGCTCTTCCGGTGCAGAAGTGTGCGAGCAGTGCCGTTAGCAGGCAATATCAATTACCTCCGGTGAAGGAGCTGCTAAATAACGCCGCTTCTTCTGCCTTAGCATCACTTGTTACTGAGCTGCTTTCCCCGTTGGTTCATTTTTCCCTTTCCCCACAGACAGGAGAGGCATCGACCGCTTCCTCTACCACGGGGAGTGCAGGGAGAGCTGCCCGCCGGGGCACTACCACTCGGAGCACGCCTGCCTGCCCTGCGGCCCGCACTGCCAGGCCTGCCCGGGCGCCGGGCGCTGCCAGCGCTGCGCCAGGGGCTACTACCTGGCCCGGGACGGGTGCCAGAAGCACAGCTGCCGAGCAGGTACCAGGACTGTTGCTGAAAGCTTGCGGATGCTTGCCTTCTGCTTGCTTAGAATTAACCCAATATTGGGAATTTTCGAAATGCAGGTGAAGTGGAAGACCCTGACTCTGAAAACTGCATAACTTGTGCAGAAGGATGCCAGCACTGCAAATGGGGTAAGTATTGCCTTTATGAACCTTTCTCTATATTCCCGAAGAAAGAAGAAATTATTCTTCTCCATATCTGATCATGAATCTTGATACGTACTGTTGAGCACTTAGTGAATACTGCATCCTCTCAGCAGCCAAACCGCATTTTTCCCAGTGTATATGTTCTTGAACAGCAATTCTAAAACCTAGCACCAGCATAAATAAGAGTAAGATTCTGTATTCATTTAGTTATTAATCTTTGCAATGCTTTTTCCTACTTAAATACCACCCTAATGCTGAGAGGTTTACTGGCTTTCCGAAGCTATTACCAGATACAGAAGTTTATCACAGAGTTTCAAAACTTACAGACCTGAAAACAGATTATCAGATTGTACTTTTTTCTTTAACGAAATAGATATGAGAAACTTGAATTTCATTCTAGAGCAAGCCACTCAAGCAGCATTTCTACAGCCATTAAAAATCCTTAAAACACTGGTTCATTTTTTCATGCAAGAATAAAAATAACGTTCTTTCTTTCATAATATGATGTTGGTTTGTTGTCTCCAGATAAACGCTGTTTAACTTGTTGAACTCAGTTTCTCAAATCCATATTATGCAAATATAAATGGATGCAATCCGGCACAGCTTGTTAGCTCTTTGGAGCTGCCTTTTGTCACAACAGTTCACCTTCACAGAGACTTTAAAGTGTTCAAATGTCATTGCTGTCACTGCATTTATGTTAAGGAATCTTTTTCCTGTATCTGTATGGACCGGAGGACAACTGGTAAATAACTCAAGACTGAGGGACAGCATATATTTTAAAAGGCCATTTTTGAAACTCCTAAAAGTAGAGGCAACCAGGACCCAAATGTCTTGGCCCCAAATTCAGACAGATTTGCATGGAGGACTTCATACGGAGCCATTTGGTTTAATCGACTTGTTATCTAATGTGTTTTGGGGTCTGGTAGATGCTAAAGTCAGTATCAGGAGATTGACCACTGCTGTGCTAATAAGGGTGAATACTGGGAAAGAAAACTGCTAGTATCCCAAGGGAGGAAAAAAAATACCATAGTCACAGCCACTTTGATATTCTATCTGCTTATTTTTATGTCAGTGCCATGCTCACATATACCAAATTTATGTAAGTATTTTTATCACATACTACTTTCTCCTCTTTTTCCCGTCATCCAATCTAGTATGTCACACTATAAAGCTCCATACAATTGCATTCATTCAGCCATTCTGTATAAATGCAATCAATCCTAATGCTTGTCTCTGTGACTATACCAGTGGGTTTTCTATATTGCTGCATTAACAGTTGGAAGGATCAAGGTTTAATATAAGTGAAACCACCCTGTAGTCCTTACCAGGGACGTTTAGCAAGGTGTGCTATCCACCTCCATGTCAGCTGTCTCCTGGGCTAAGGGGAGAAAAAAAAAAGAAGAAAAAAAGTAAATAAAGAGAATCTGTTTTAACACCAATCTTTAATGCCCCTAACAAGTGTTACTTTACTGAATTTTAGGTGCACAACAACACAGTGGATTAAATTTTTTATATCTCTTCTGCAACTGTTTAGTCCAAGTTCTTGGCTTGAATTACAGTGGAACAAAATGAGAACAGGAAGTTCTCTTTAAAAAATAGTCATTGCAAGTACCTTAGCAGCTGTTTTTCTTTTTGTATTAGAAGACTGCAACGTTCTTCATGAACAGGCAGCGTGTAGAAAATGGGGCTGTACTCACTCATTTGCCTCTAATCTCAGAAAGTCACTTATCTCCTAAATATTAATCTGACAAACTTACTTCCTATTTACTTTCAGGTTCTCTCAAAGTTCTGATTTAAAATAGGCTTTTCAAAGGCTTCAAAGATCAATAAAATGGGTGCAAGTAAAACAAAAGTTGAATTAACTTTCGCTCCAGAGTAAAGTCAGAAGTATTAAGAAGTCAAAGTATGGGTCATGTTATAAGAAAACTTTCTGGAGGTTGTGATGCATGTTATACTGAACTTACTTAAACAGGTTGGTTTAATGCTAGATCTATTTTGAAGAGAAACACAGCTGTGGGACGCCAAGCAAGTTGTGCAAATTACCACGTGCTTCTGAAATAAAGCATGAAACTTCAAACTTAAAACGAATCAGGCAGAGATGCTATTTGCTTGTGTTTCTGCTCATAACAGTCAGTGAGAATTCTGACATATCAGTAACTTAATTCATAGATAAGACAAACACAGAAAAAAGATTTCTCCTGTCTTATCAGAAAACTGATATATTTAGAGACTTCAGTGTAAAAAAAATAGCTTTGCTATCTGACTTTTAGCAGAGACAAATAGGTTATTCTGAAAGCTGTTAAGAAATTACATTTCCACAAAAATAATTAAAAACAATAAAATTTCAAGGTGAGAAAACATGGAATATAATACATTTAGTTTTACACCTTTATAGTCTGCTTAGACTCTCTCTCTAAAATTAACAGAATGCTGCATGATTTTGCAGTCTCATTTTGGCTTATCTTTCTTACAGCACCACTGAGAAATTTAATCTGAACAAAAATTGTAGAACAGGAGAAGGGCAGGCATTCTAGTTCTATGAACATTTCTATTAGAAGTGCACTGGAGAGCTCTGGGGAACACTATTAAAAAAAAGAGAGAGAAAGAGAAAGAAAGAAAGAAAAGAAAAAAGGAAGCAAAATGCAATAATCACAGCAATTGGAATAAAAAATATATAGTTCATGTTACTGAAAATTGGTTGTTAATATAGAAACATGCATACAGCTAATGAACATTTATAGTTTTGCAAAGACTATAAGCCATTCACTCATATAAAGTCATCAGGCGCTTGCTGCTTGCTGAAGTTCTCTGAGATCCTTTGATAAACACTAATAGCTACGAATAATTACCTACAGTTTATGCTGGTTGTTGAGTTATGCAGGATGACTTATAGAAACTGCAGACTTACAGAAATTTTATTGCATAAAATAAGAAATGAATATAAGGCTGTTGTAAAATGTGCTGTCACATTGTAAAATGAGCAACAAAATGCCAATGGTTCTCTAACTGTCTACAAATTAGGAAGATTAGTTGATATTTTCTTCTGCTTTGTAGAAAGAGAACAGGTCTTAAGGAGAGATAAAAATGCTAATTAAGATAACTGAACTGTTTTTTCTAGTAGCCTGAAGGACTGGTAATTTCTGGCCAAAAGTTTCTTTCACAGAGCACCAGAGAACAGATTAAACTGCTGCCTTCGGTCTTGGGCCGTGCTTTCTGGCTTTGTACAGGCAAGAAAACGAGTAAGAAAGAGCTACTGTTTTGATTTGCTGCCAGCTACCAGCAGAACAGAGCAAGTAAATGAGGCAGGAGGGTGTGAGATCTCTTTTCTTGATCAGTACTGACCTTACTGATACATTAAGCTGCAGCTAATGCACATTTGTGTCAGTTTTATACTTTATATCCTGCACCAGACACTTCAAAGAATGCAAAAGCTTCCTTGTAAGTAATATGTAAGGAGAGCACTAAGGGATCCCTCCAGCTGTGGGATGCTGAAGTGAAGGACAGAGAGTATTTGTCATTCGTTCTGGGATCCTCAGTGAAACACAAATGTTTTCTTCCAAGTCTGGTTCCTGCTTATTTTCAGGGTTACTGTAGGGCAATGCAGAAGTTGAATAAGTCTATCAGCAAAGAAAGAGACAGCCAGAAAGACAGGCTAATCAAGGACAGACATAGTCTTTATGGCTTAAGTACTGGCGCTACATTTCTTTCTTTTTCACTTCCTGAATTCAGAGGTTGCCTATATTTTAAGGAGAAAAAAAATCTCTAAGACTCACAAATAGAGTTCTGCCTTCATGCACTGTTACATCCTGGAACACATAGCAAGAATTAGACTATTACAGCACATTAATTCTTAGAGGACCCGTAGCTATGTCTATCCTGTGCCAAAACATGGCTGTGCACAACAGGGTTCATCTCCCCACCATCCCCTGGTAGCACCTGGCTGTGCTTGATGCTGCCCTAGCCCTTTGATATGCTCAAGCACATGGCAGTCTGTGAGCTCCTGAATATGAAAATTGAAAAGGAGTGCCAAAGACAAGTCAAATCTTAAAGAATATCACCAGAAGACACCAGGAAGTCTATAAAATTTAAACCAAATCACTGGAACAGTTCTTCAATATAGGCAGGTGTTGAAAGGGAAAATTCTGACAAAGCAACATGACTAAAGAGGAGGGTTTTCTTTGGGCAGCACCTACATTCTGACCTTCGGTGGAGTTCATTTGCTGCCACATTTAGATCTTCATAACTGCACTCGTGCTATATCAAGTGTCTTAAAATCATAATGAATATCAGAAACTTTCTTCAGTGCTAACCTTAACTCTTTAGCAAGCATGCAGCTATAAGCCCCTTCAGGACAAGATAAAGGCAGGTAACTACAGGTCACTGCAGAATTTGAGCCATTAATTATTTTAAAAGAATGCCAAAACTAATACAACGTCAGAGCATAACAGTGCTAGACATTATTTGCTGTGCCTATAGTTATAGCACATAGACTGGAGTAGATTCTCAGCCAATTTCGACTCTCTTTCTAATCACAAATTGCATTTGCCCTTTTGCAGTTGCCAGTGAACACACAAAATCTGATGGCAAATGACACAAACTTCCAACACGCACTACGTGCTGCCCTGCACGTGTACACCTCGCAGGCAGAGCTGCCACGTCATTAACCAGTAATGCTAACTGTGAGCACGTAGGCCATGGAAGAGCTACGTATTTGTAGCTCAACAGTCCCATGCAACCACTGAGAAATTCACAAGAATCAAGAGAATACTTCTTCCTCTCAGGAGGAAGTTTGAAGTTTGAAAATCAGGCTGTTGCCCAAATTTATGTGCCTTTCTGTCAGTGTCCTCCAAAACTGAGCCTCATGTTCCAGAATCAATTCCTACCCACTTACTTGTTGATTCACTTCCACTTATCTCAGCCAACTTGCACAAGAATGACATGTTGCAATATGAGTACACAGGCTTTCCAGATATTACCTCATCTAC